CGCTGGCGACCGTTTCGTTTTCCCGCGCCCTCACGCCAGAAAACCTCATTTTTTGCGCGCACTCCCGAGCAAAAAACGTTCTGCTCCCTAACCCTCACCCTAACTCCGCGCTCGCGCGGAGCCGAAAAAATTGAAATTTAATGCGAAAAATACCCAGAATATTCAGCCATCAGCCACCCACCACTCGCAACCCTAACCCCGAATGCCCGGTCGCTTGCGGCCCACAGCCTGCCACGCACCAAAGTCTAGCCAGAGTCTAAGTCTAACTGGCCCATTCGTTCAGCCTATATATCAATTGAGAGTGCGAGAAAATTCTGTTCCAAACATTTTATGTATTAGGCCATCACCCACAGTTCTTGTACCAACATTCAGACGTTAAATGTACTGTACGAAGCTGGATTCCGTGCGCAACGAATATACCACTCATTCAGCCACTTCAGCCACAGGCGCATCGAGCGCGAGCGCTTCGATAACGCTGCTCTCCCAATTGGATGGCAATCGTGTGAGCGTTCAAGCCGCCCGCGCGCCCTCCGCGCGGTGCCTGGCGCGAACGCGTGCCCGCCTCGCGCCTCCGATCTGCTTGCGTAGGTTACTGAACGGTCCCCGTAGGTTACAATTCCGCGCCTCGTTCCCCGCCCGTATCCGCTCGTATGATACTTACTTGATTCGTCGTTTATTTGCTCCGCGCCGTACTTATACGCGCATCGCGCGCCCGCTCACCTCAGTCCCACGTAACCCGCGTCTGACTGAGGTGAGCTCGCCCCGTTTACTTATGGTTCGCTTAGTGTTTACTCACCTACGTTCGCGTCCTTTAGATACCGCGCTCATAGGTATATCCAATCTATTATATTAGTCCCGCGTAACCCGCGTCTGACTGAGATACCGCGCTCATAGGTTATGAGCCCTGCGCTCTAAACTCAAACAAGTCAGACTTACCGAACTCGCCAAATACAACATGTCCTCCGTGAAGCTCGGAGAAGACTATGTGCGTGTACCGAAGCTTGAGGTCGGCGGCGCGAACTGGGTCCTGTATAAGGAACGGTTGGCATGGGCCGCCGATGTGAAGGGCGTCTTGGGCCATCTCGACGGCACGTCGAAGGAGCCCGTTGAGCCGGCCGCTTCGGTCAGGCAGCCTGCCTCGACTCCGGCGGTGACAGCGGCGCAGGGAGCGACCGCTGGTCCCGGACGAGTCGCAGGGGGAGCTGAAGGCGCTGGCGCCGCTGCCGGAGGAACCGGTGGCGGCAAAGCGACAGCTGCCCCCGCTGGTGGCGCTGCGAGTGCTGGCGGACTGGCCGTGGAGGCCGCGAGTCAGGCCGACTCCTTACAGAAGACGTACCTGGACGAGCTCGCCGTATGGCGTAAGGGCGAGGCGGTGGTGAAGCAGCTCATCGCGAGCACCATACCGGACTCCCTGTTCATGAAGATCCGCGCAAAGCCGAATGCGCGCGAGATCTGGGACGCGCTTGCCCGCGAGTTCGAGAAGAAGTCGCGCATGGTCTCGGTCGACCTGCGCCGACGTCTCCAGGAGCAGCGCTGCGGGGAGAAGGACGACGTCAGAACGCATTTTGCGAAGCTACGTACCATGCGCGAGGATCTTTCCGCCATGGGCCATTCCCCCTCCGAAGACGACTTCTATGCTATCATCCTCGGCTCGATGCCAACGTCCTACGAACCCTTCATCTCCGCCGTCTCTGCTACGTCGAGCGTCACGGGCACAGTCTTGAGTCCGGACGACTTGATGGAGGCGCTCACCGATGAGTACGAACATCGTCTCTTGCGGACGAAGGCTGGGCGACGGGCGGACGCGACAGATGTCGCACTGTCGGCTAGTGACAAGGCAGGCAGTAGCAAGAGCAAGAAGAAGTCCGTCGAGTGCTACAATTGCAAGCGCAAGGGGCACTACAAAAGCGAGTGCTGGGCGCCAGGTGGCGGCAAGGAGGGCGAGGGTCCGAAGGGCAAGGGAAAGGCGCGCGAGAACGCATCGACCGCCCAGGCCCAGGCACCGAAGGACGCCAAGGCCAAGGACGAGGCCTGGTATGTCTTCACGCCCCTGGATGACAACATCGACGATCTCCCCGATCTGGTCACTGTGGCCGATTCGAGCGTCCCTGATGACGAGCCGGCTGCCTGGGACACTGACGACGATGAAAGCTACTCGTTCAACGACGAGCACGTCTGTGCCGACGGCGCGCAGCTCGCGCAGGCGCAGTCGGGACCGGATGAAATAATTCTATTCGATTCCGGTGCTACTCGACACATGTCCCCTCACCGACACCGCTTCGTAAACTATGAGTCCATTTCCCCAAAGCCCATCCACGCCGCCGACAAACACGTCTTCAAGGCCGTCAGCAAGGGCGACATGTACGTCACCCTCCCAAATGGCAACCGCTCCACCCGCGTCCTGCTGCGTGATGTTCTCCACGCGCCTACGATGGGCGTGACCCTCGTGTCCATTGGGCGAGTCGCTTCGAGCGGCGTGACGGTGACATTCCGCGAGCGGGGCTGCCGCATCGCTAACGCGGAGGGCGAGACCGTTGTTGACATCACGATGACGAACGGCCTATACCGTGTCGTGATTCCGGCCGAGCGCGCAGCACCCGCAACTGAAAGCGCACCTGTTGAGGGGGAGCGTGTTGTCAGCGCCGACGAGTGGCATCGCGCGATGGGCCACATCTCGCACGAAGTCGCGCGCGAGATGCTGCGCAAGGAGCACGTTCTGGGCGTACGACTTGATCCGCGCGCGTCTGTCCCATCCACCTGCGAGTCTTGCGAGGCTGGAAAAATGACGCGGAAGCCCATTGCGAAGACTCGTGTGCGGCCGCGCGCTGCGGAGATTGGCGAGGAACTTCATTCCGACCTCTGGGGTGCCGCACCGACGCAGACTTTGGGCGGGAGGCGATACGACTCACTCTTCATCGACGACCACTCGCGGTACACCTTCGCGCACTTGCAGCGCACGAAGGACGAGACTTTCAGCTCGTACCAAAAGGTCGAGGCGTTCCTGCGGACACAAAAGGGCGTCAGCGTCAAATGCCTACACACCGACCGCGGCGGCGAGTACCTGAGCACAGAGTTCACGGAGCACCTCGCAAAGCAAGGCACCATCCGCAAGCTCCACCTACTGTTGTAACGCTGATGCATCAAACCCCGGATACGTTCCGAACGTGCGTTGCATCATAGTTAGGTTGTTAGGGTACTACTCTAACAGGCCCTGTTCTTCGCTTATTTGGGGTCTGAGTTTGAATCTACCTCCCTAATAAGGCAGGAAAGCGCAGATATGGCTGCAGGGCTGTTATCAACTGTAGATAACAGCCATTTTCTTATCTCATTGGCCTAATCAGGCAGGTACTTTAATCTCTTATCTCTATGGCGCTTTTTTGATCACTGCAGGCTTATCTCCCTGGCCAGATCAGGCATGTACTGTAATCTCTTATCTCTAGGGCGCTTTTTTTGATCG